GGGGGGGGGGGGGGGGGGGGGGGGGGCAAATTTGAATAGCGAAAATGGAATATCAAACCTGAGGGTAATATAAATGCAAGAGACAATGTCCAAACCAATGGACAGAACGCCCCGCGTTTTAATGATGGTGGAAATACTCAGGCTAACGGTAATAATGGTCTAAATAATGGCGCCTTTGTTACAAACCAAGGACCAAATGTTAGGCCTCAAACAAATTCCACCAGTAAATCAATCTATAGAAGTCCCATATGATCCCAACGTTATGTTGAGGAATCAAATTACGGAGATAATGCAAGACCAAATGGCTTTTGGGATGCGTCCATTTATTAGGCCTACTTATACAAAGCCATATCCTCATTGGATAGATCAAGCATATCCGTGGCCTAGAGGGTATAAAGTACCAGAGTTTTCATTATTCACCGGTCTGGGAGAGGTCTCTACTCTGGAACATATATGGCGATTCACACTACAATGTGGTGAAGTAACTGATTATCACAAAATAAGATTGTTTCCTAGTTTGTTAACAGGAGTAGCCTTCTCATGGTTTATAAATTTACCAGCAAACTCTGTCCAAACATGGCAACAACTAGAACAATTGTTCCGCACCCAGTTTTACAAAATTGAATCTGAAGTTACTTTGGTCGACTTGGCGAATTTACGTCAAATGCCAAATGAATGGATAGAAAGTTTCCTTCAGAGATTTAAAATAGCCAAGAGCAAATGTTTTGTACCTCTGCTCGAAAAGGAATTCGTCAAAATCACTCAAAATTGCTTGAGTTTCAATTTAAAAAAGAAGTTCCAAGACAGGGAATTTCCCGACCTTTTCCAACTGAGTGCAAACGTAATTAGATATGAACGATTGATAAGAGAAGAAGAACATATGAAAAACTCTAGCAAATGGACTTATTATAGAGACCCAAACTTCGATATTCATGCTGTTAATGATGAATATTACGATCACACAGAAGTATGTCTGGCCGAATTGATTAAGGGAGACGTATATACTTGTCCTATAATGGCCAAATTTAGAACATCGGTAAGGATAAGCCTGTAAAAAATAATTGAGGTTGAGAATGGTAATGAGGCCTCAGATGATGAGGATAATCTTCAAGTTGTGAACCAGGAGTTATATGATGAGAGCCTTAAAATTAAGAAACTCAACAATGCCCTACCGAAGAATCTTGATTCCTTAGAGAGAGAGAGAGACTTGCTGGTGAGCTTAAGGACTCAACCAGTTCTCTGAGTGAGTTGAGATGTATCAATGAGAGACTAGAAGAGAAGGTTAAGACCCTCACGAGTAATCTAGAAAAATCCAATTCTCAACTTGAGGCTTTCTCCAGTAGGACTAAGAAGCTTGATAGTCTTTTAAAGGGAGTGTTCCACCCTAATTAGGTTGACAAGTTCCTAGTTTGTTCACTAAGGCTTTCAAACTATCGAATTTTCGCTTGTATATATTGACATAAAACATAGTTCATTATCTAGTTAGGTTTCTTGAATTACTAATAAATCGTACTCATACTTTTTGATCCCTTGACATAAAATTCGTAATATTTCGTCGTAAAGCATTGTGAAAATGAAAACAATCAACTATACAAATCTATTTACAGACTTAAAACGACAAGGCATGAAACAATTCACATTTTTCTTACACCATTAATATTTGGGAGAATAGCAACCATGGTGCCAAACATTTTATTTAGTACCAGATTTGATCCAAACCTTTCATGTGTGCCACCCATAGTAACAATACCTTTTAAAAATTCTCACTTAGAATCCAAATGGATGGTTTTCATTAATTCTTCTATTAGTTGGCTAAAAGTCAACTA